GTGCGCACTGGAGCGGACAGGGCATTGCCTCGCGTGCCCTCAGAAATGGTTCCGCGTGCCACCTGTTCGCCATCAGGTTTCTAGTGTTTGTACTGAATTTTGCCCCATTCTGAGTCCTTTCTTGCCACAGTTGTTAAAGGAATTGCTGCCAATTGTTAAATTAGCAACACAGTTGTTAAGGGACTTTGGCTTTCCCATTTGACTTTGCTTTTTCAGAAGGTCAGGAAAGCGTTTTCAGTGTCAGATGCCTTTCAGCCATGTAGAAGATTCCCTAGTTTTGACAGGCAAGGAAGTTATTATTTATAAATGAACTAGCTGATAAACCGGTGTGGGACGGATATTTATTTATAGGGGGGAAATGTCTGGACCAAACGTAATTTCTAATGTTGGATTTTCCCCCTTACCAGAGGGAGCCCCCTTGTGGAGTAATGTGAAGCCATTACTCTGGCAACTCCACTGCGCTGTACAGTAGAATCCATTTTAAGGCACAACAGGCTGTATCTTAACAGAACAACCCCCGTCCCATGAGGTGTGTTAGGGGTGTCTTACCCCCACAGTATTTCTTTCCAGGGAGTAAGTCATCTGTGTACCAAGTTTGGTTGAAATTGCTCAAGGCATTCTAGAGTTATGCTGGAACATAACATACACACAGCTTTATATATATACATACATACATATATGTGTGTGTGTGTGTGTATATATATACATACATATATGTGTGTGTGTGTGTGTGTGTGTGTGTGTGTGTGTGTGTTGCATTTGTGCTGATAAATAAATAAAGCAGTATGCTTCCTCCAACACACACAGCTTTTTAGATATAGTTATAGATAGTGTTGCATTTGTGCTGATAAATAAATAAAGCAGTATGCTTCCTCCAATATTTGGGCATACCAGGGGTTGTGACACTATATATGTATGTATGTATGTATGTATGTATGTATGTATGTATGTGTTTTTTATTTTATTTGTGCTGATAAATAAATAAATATATATATCTGTGTGTGTGTGTGTGTGAATTAGAATAGATTATAGGATGGATGGATGGATATAGATACATACATACATATACATTTGTATTTATATGTAACCACATTTTTATGGTGTGAAGATCATTGATAGAAAATGTATCCATGAATATGGGTAGTCCTCGACTTATGATTATAATTGACCCCAAAATTTCTGTTGTTAAGTGAGTCATTTGTTAGGGGAGTTTTGCCCCATTTCCCGACCTTCCTTGCCACAGTTGTTAAGTGAATCACCGAAGTTGATAACTTAGTAACACGGTTATTAAGTGAATCTGGCTTCCCCATTGACTTTGTCAGAAGGTCGCATAAGGGGATCATGTGACCTGGGGGCACAGCAACGGTCGTAAGGATGAATCAGTTGCCAAATGGCTGGATTTTGATCACATGACTGCGGGGATACTAGAAAGATCATAAGTGTGAAAAATGTTCCCAACTCATTTTTTTTCAGTGCCGTGGTAATGAGTGGTCAGTAAGTGAACTGTCGTAAGTCGAGGGCTCCCTATACTATGCAACATCGAGCCATAAGCCAGCAGGAGGCACATACGCATGTGTGGTGGAGCTGGGCTGGGGTGATGGCTGTGCGTGCCACTGTGTGGGATGCGTGCTATGATTTGGGATGCGGTGGCTCAGTGGCTAAGACGCACTGAGCTTGTCGATCAGAAGGGTCAGCAATTTGGCGGTTCAAATCCCTAGCGCCGCGTAACGGAGTGAGCTCCCTTTACTTGTACCAGCTTCTGCCAACCTAGCCGTTCGAAAGCAGGTAAAAATGCAAGTAGAAAAATAGGAACCACCTTTGGTGGGAAGGTAACAGCGTTCCGTGCGCCTTCGGCGTTTAGTCGTGCCGGCCACATGACCACGGAGACGTCTTCGGACAGCGCTGGCTCTTTGGCTTTGAAACGGAGATGAGTACCGCCCCCTAGAGTCGGGAACGACTTATGTGCAAGGGGCACCTTTACCTTTCACCTTACTATATGATTAAGAGAATAACGGTTACGATTAGGGTGCATATCATCCTGGATATATTTAAAAAGGACTCGATACAACCAGTAATACTGCTGTTGCAAAATTTGAAATTGTGGTGTAGAATGAAGGAAAATGCACAATAAAAACAATTACCCCCCAAAAAAGCAAAAAAAAAAGCAACCCACCCCATTCATTTTTACGAAATATATATATATATTTCCACGACTCGTTTTGCATCCAATCGATTTCTTGCAGACCGGCTGGGTAACTTCCCTCCCCACCCCTGAAGCCGTTAAAAGGAAAAAAAACACTAAGATGTGCCTCAACAGGCAGCCCATTTAGAGACGCATCTGGTTATGTCAGTCCAACCTCGGGTGGAGAAATCCCACCCACCCCCCCTCGTACAAAATAAATGGTATTTCCTGCTTTCATAAACAGTCATGTGGGTACATCGGCCAGGCCGATGGTGCCTCCGGAGCTCTTTTTACATTTCCCCAGCACCACCGCCACCACCACCGTTGGGCCGGTCTCCGCCGACGTTTGCAACAAAGGGGAGACCAGAGCCTTCTCTTTAGATCGAGGCCTCGGAAGAAGAGAAGGACAGGCAGTCTGTTTTGGTTGTGAATCTTTTCTGATTTTTCCAGAAATCAAGCAGAAGATTGAGCTGCTGATGTCAGTAAACTCTGAGAAGTCCACCTCTTCAGAAAGGTACCGCTTCAAACGCATCTTCTGCATGAACAATTCCGTCGGTGTGTGGTGTTGTCGGCTAACACGCAGCGCAGAATATATATATATCTCATTTTTTATTTTTTATTTTCACCGCCCGTTTCTTTATATATCTATATCTATATCTATACCCATCTCTTTGCATGTTTCCCTTTGCGTGTCTGAATCGGAAGCCGTGTTTTTGGTTGAGCTTTTGACGTTTTTTGAGAAGGTGTTCGGCTTCGTTGTTTTAAAAAAATAATAAGAATAAGAGAAATGAAATTTCAGTGGTGCAGCATGCAACCTCCCCCCCTCCTGTAGTATGAACGGTCCCCCCCCCCCTCCTCCTGTACGTGCCTGTGTGTTTATATTTTTGCTGCAGTCGGTGGTGTCTTTTGTGCTCATCTGTCTTTTCCACCCGGCAAATCCATCTTGCTTTAAAAAAAAAAAAAAAATCCAGACCCAGAAAGACAGAGCGGGAGAGAGAGAACGAGAGAGAGAGAAAACGAGAGAGAGAGGGAGGGAGAGAGACGGTTTTTAAGCCGGATGCTTGAATTTAACCTTGCAGAAAACAGGAATCGTTCAAAGCACGATTTGTGTGTGTTTGTGCGTCTGTGTGTGTGTGTTGCAAGGGAGTGTCCTTAGTAAGAGCTTAGGAATTGCAAACCTATGAATTAGTCACATTTGGGCGAGAAGTTGTGTGATGCTGTTTCGGGTCCCTGCTAGAAAATGGAACAATCACTGCAAGCAGCGGTGGTTTATCACGCCTGCAGGTAAGGGAGAATTCACTCAGAAGCATCCCGAAAGGGAAAATGGCATTTTACCTTCACCAATTTGCTCACCTCCATCCCTGGTTTATTTTCATTTCACATTTTAGGGAAGGTGGTGATTTCTTTTTCCCGGAGCTAGCAAGCAACCATCTTATTATTATTATTATTATTGCTTTATGTGTTTTATTTTTTTATTTTTTTGCTGGTGTTAAGAAAATACGATAAATAAGATGATATTTTCCCACGTCGTATCACCGCTGTTCGGAAATGCATGCATCTTATATTTTTTTTCCCCCTTTCCCCCATTCGGATCCACGGTTCTTCTACGTTTCATTAGCCATTTCTCTCCCCTCTTAAAAGATGTGACATAATTCAAGGGGACATATTTTATACCCGATACCCATCCCGATGTACCAGGGAAGGATATAATCCGGGGATAGATGAAAAACCTTTGAGCTAATTAGAAAGAGACTACGGCACATCATTAAAAGGGCATTTTGAACGGTGCTTTGGGAACAGAACAGGTTCCCAAGTGGGGGGGGGGGGAAATGATGGAGAGAAGAGAATCCTCAAAAAAGGAAGCCTTTATTTTCCTTTCAAATAAAAAATGACAATCCTGAGAAATAAGATTTTAAAATGGTGTGCAGGGTGGGGTAGGGAAGTAAGAAATCCTTGCTGTGTGTGTGTGTGTGTGTATGTATTTTTTTTTCAAGTGGTGCATTTCCAGGATTAAAGCAACGGATTGCAAAATTTGAGGATGGGATGGTTTCTTGACTCTAGAAACAAACATCTCAAAACCAAAATGCTAATTTGGTTCAGTGATCTGGTTCCCCCCCTGCCCCCCCCCCCCCGGTCTCCGTCCCGGTTCTATATCAGCTATAAATATTATATCAATAAAATGGTGGTAATGATGACGTGAGGAACGAAGCTCGGGATGAAAATAGCAAGGAAAACTGTGATTATTTTTTTTTAGGTTTTCTGTTAAGGAATGACTCTCTTT